TGGGCGCGGCCCGGGCCGGGCCGGCCCTGAGCCGCGAGGGCCGCGGGTTTCTTCTGGCCTCAGGGACACAAAGCTCCCCGGGACTTGCCCCAGCTGCGCGGGGAGGGCAGCAGAGCCACCTGCCGGGTGCGAGCCGGGCAAGGGGGCGCCAGCCGCCGCGCGGGTGAGAGCAGGCCTGTCCAAAAGCCTGGTTGGAGCCGCCTGCGTCCCGAAGGGCAGAGCAGGAGGTGTGGTGGGGCTCAGCCACGAAGTGAGGGGAGAAATGCTTCCAACCCCACCGATGCTTTGGCGCTTTTTTTCCCAACAAGGATCCAGGAGGCACGTGGGGGCTCCCCTGGCTCGGGGGGAGAAGCAGATGGCCAAAGGGAAGCCCTGGTGCAGGGTGGGAAGGAGAAAGTGGTGTCAGCAGTGTCCTTGTTCAGGGGCTTGGAGGAGCTGCTTTCTGCATGGCTCACTTGACGTTTGGCCTCTTCTCTCCCTGTGCAGGAACGGATGTCGTCATTGTCAAAAGCGGCAGAAGAATATGCGGCACAGGGGGCTGTTTAGCCAACGCACCTTTGCATCAGAATAAGAGCTATTTTGAATTTAAAATCCAGTCCACAGGTTAGTCGGTCACATTTTAAATTGCTTCAGACTTCAAAAGCTTCATTTGATTGGCATTTAATCTACGCCCGCAAAAGGACGCCATCTCTGTATTGTCAGCCGTATAATACTAACTATATTGTACTTTGGAAGTATCAAAGAATTGCGGGGGGGAGGGGGTTACAAAACAAATGACCATCTTGTGAGGAAGGACATGTTGGGCTTTTTCCTTCTAATTTGCTTTTACTACTTAAAAAGAATGGCAAGTAAATTTATTATAGAGTTGCGGATATTAAAGCATTCAAATTGCATGCTCTATCTGTATATGTAATATATGTTTTAAATCATAATTTAGAGCTACTCTCTGCTAAATTAAGTAATGTTTATATACTCCTGAAAATTAAGTAATGTTTATATACTCATGAAACACCATGTAGAGGCACCAAGCATATTTATACTGTCTCCACCTGTGCTAGGTTATGCCAGCATAAAAGCATGCTCTGTTTGCTCCTGCTCCACGGTTGCCAAGTACTGAAAAAATGTAATGTGGTAGCTATATGGTGTCTGCCTCGTACTGTTATCAGTCCCAACCATTCATATTGGCACCAATTGCCTCTCTAACAGCTGTTACATTGCATTTTTTTCACCACTTGGCATGCGTGAGGTGGGAGTGAGTTTGGGGGGAGGGGAGGACATGTTTTCATGATGGTTACTCCAGAGCATGGTCAGAGGCAGTGTACACATGTCTTTAAGTGTTCTCTCTCTTTTTTTTCTGGGACAGTTTGCTCAGTAATATTTGCTGAAAATTGCTTCCCTGTAGTTGCTGGGCTTTTTTAAATACATGTCTAAATTCTCCGTTTGAACATCTGTGTAGGCTGGGCCACTGAGGGAATGATTCTGTGCAATATGGAGCTTGCAGCTTCAGGAGAGATGGTTCTAAGCTCCTTTTGTTCCTTCTCAATTCTGGGCTGCTCCAAGAGCTGATCAGTCCCAGTGTAATTTAGAGAGCCGCCTTGATCAGGCTGTGTTACACCAGCTTCTGCTGACTGCCATGTAGCATGCAGTATGGCCTAGAAGCTCCATAGTGTGATGTACAGTAGACCTACCTGCCCATATGCCCTCTACATGAGGGCTTGCAAAGGATCTCCAGAAGGCATTCTTTTAGTTATCTTCTGTCATTTTTGTGTCCTGGGAATCTTTACTTGGCTAGAACTGCCATTTAGCTCTTTTACCTGTCGTGGCTAGGGACCAGAGGAAGGATCTTGCACAATGTCTTTTTGTATTGATCTCTAGTAAAAGAGAAACACTAGGAATCTGCTCTGTCTGAAAGAATATGTTTCAAGTCTCTCAACATAGTGGATGTGATTGCTGATGCTTTTCAAACAAAATTGACCTATGAAATTGCTAGTTTTTATGGCGCACTGAGGTGTCTCAAAAGAATTTGGTAACAGTTTACTTAGCATGTCAATATTATGTTTTAAGGGATTTGGGGTATTGGCGTTGCAACCCAAAAAGCAAACTTGAATCAAATTCCACTTGGCCGAGATGTGCATAGTCTGGTGATGAGGAACGATGGAGCTCTCTACCACAACAATGAGGAGAAGAACAGGCTGCCAGCAAACAGCCTTCCACAGGAGGGTGATGTTGTAGTAAGTTTCTCACAGTTTGATATACAGTAAAGTCTGTTTAATTCACCACTCGAGGAGGAACACAGATAATGGCAAATTAGCCATTATTAACCAATAACTAGGAGTTAGTAAAGGGAGAGGAACCCGGTGGGGATTGGAGTAGTGGCCAATATGGTGGCAAATTATCCTGCAGGTAAAGTAACCAATGTTTATGTAAACTGTCATTGTTCAAATTGCTCAGCACTATATTTTTGTGTTCTTCCGAAGTGGAATTTGTCAGGTTTGACGCAAGCCTACAGGCAATAAAAAAGAGTTCTCCCCAAGCTTAGATAGCACATTGGGCTAGCTTAGAGGCATGATTTGGCTAGCGTCAGGCCCCTTCTGACTTCCTAATCAAATGACCAGGGAAGACTCTTTTAGAACTGGGTTGACTGCAGACACCCTTGGCACAGGCCCAATGTGAGACTTGGAACTTGTGTCATCATGAGATGCCTTAACTCAGGGGTGGGCAAAATATGGCCCACAGGCCAGATCTGACCCACCAAGTGATTCTGTCTGGCCCATTACAGGTTCCTTAGCTCTGCCTAGCCCAGGCGTGAGGTGCAGCCAAGGCCATGGGTCATGTGGTCGGTACTACCAACTTGGGTGCCGATGCTGCCTGGTGCAGAGCACAGCATCCCTTAACCCTGTGCATGGCTCTTGGGCACGCTGGGAGCTGTAGTCTGCGGGGCTGGGCAAGGGCAGCATGGAGGCTGGACTTGGATTCCCAATAGCCCCCAGAACTGTGGTTCGTTCTGCTCTCACGCTTCTGGCTGTTGCTGCCAGTGTCTCTTGCTGCTGGACCTGGCCTCACTGCCCAGGCACCCTGGCCTGTCCACCCTGGACGCACTGCTGGGGCACTAGATGGAGCAGGAGGGCAAACGAGGTTTCTGTGAGGACCAGCCTGGGACCCCTGTGGGCAGGGCTAGCTGGGTCAGGTGGATGGGGTGGGGCTGCAGGTGGGTAGGGAATGTGGGCTGGGGGCTTGGGATCATGGGGTGGTTCCAGCATGGGGCTGGGGCAGAGCTGCAGTCCACTTCCCATAGGTTCCTGTGATGGATGCTGGTTCCACGCGCAGGACCTCTGCCCCCCCTCAGGTCGTCTGCAGCTCACTAAAACTCCTTAAGTGGCCCTCCAGCCCAAATAATTGCCACCCCTGCCTTAACTGTTCTGCCACTACAGCCCTTTCAAGGGAATTGGGCTGATCTTTTTGAGAAAAATGGTGCTACTGTTTCATTTCAATCCCATTGTAGCTAGGGTTGCTCTATTTGTCTGTAAACCCAACTGATGACTCTCAAGCCATTTGAGATGGGTCTTCCCAGCTCAGGCAATATTCCAGCATGCACTGCAGATATAAATGAAGTTGTGCCAAGCTAAGCTTAAGATCTCTTTCCCATATACTTGGACAGAGAGGGTGTCATCTCTTTTAGCATTGTGGGGAAAGTTATGGCAAAGATGCACGGGATTGGAGGAATTCTCTTTAGCTAAACTGGGGCAGGGTTTAAGGAAGAAAGAAGCAATTTGGCTGGGGTTGTACAGAAAAAAAATGCTGGTAAGTCAAGCAAATAATTAAAGGGATTATAAATCTGCATATATGCCATATCCTTTCTCCCACCCCCTCCCCGCCACACCCCAAAATATGGCTGATAGGAATCATAGGAAAGTAGGGCTGGAAGGGACCTTATGAGGTCATATTGTCCAGCCCCTGTTCAAGGCAGGATGATCACTGACTAAATCACCCCAGCCAAGTGTCTGTCTATCTTTAATGTCGTCCTGAATATTTGGAGGGCTCTGCTATCTTGCTGTTTTTTTACATCCCATCAGAAATTTCTTTTCTGATATGTGTGGGAGCAATAAGGTTTACACCATTTCTAAAACACCAGCTTTTTTTGCTTTGTTATACTTTCTTCTGAGTGCTGCTGTTTGCAGTATGCATTTATTAAGGCTATTGCTAGATAATTACAAAGTTTTAAAATCCCGTTCTTAAAGGGCTTTTTATGAAAGCCATTGCCATTGTAGTCTCTTCAAATCTCTCTCTACCTGTATAGTTTGGGGTTCTGAAGCTGAAACACAGAAAGGTTACTAAGTAACAAGTATTTTACTAACTCCCACACCTTCATGCATACTGTCTTTTTACTTTGTTTGCCACAAAAATGAGTTTCTAAGGTTGTACTGAATAATGATGCCCATTGCCAGTTTCAGCCACACCAAAAGCAGAGGCAGATCCTTTCTGTGTTTTAATTCCTTCTCTGTAATGTGCATGCTTTTTGTACCGCATATCAAATGATCATCTGTCATTGTTGGCACAGAGCATGGATTACAAGAGGGTTTTTTTAATATGGTCTATCATCCATGAAGGTAGCTAAGCATATCATTTTTTTTAACAAATTCTTTTATTAATGCAGTTTATTTCTTTGGCAATTACCAGTTAGCACTTAGTAAATTTGTATACTGTTCAAAGCTATTAGAATTGCTCACAGCATCTCAAAAAATACCATGCAAATTCAATACAGAACTTTTGTTGATTAATTGCAGTTGGTCAAGTGAGTTGCATGCTATTGATGGTGTCTCCTGATTCAGTGATTGTACAACAGCCTCTGGCATTTGCAAGTGCAAGTATCATTGTTTAATTATTAATGGTTAAGTGAGTTCTTTGAAAGAAGCCTTGGCTAATGTCACTGTGCTTGAAATTCTCTGCTGTTACCTAGTTAAGGTGAAACCAGTAAAAATGGATATTTGAAGCACTTTTGTGCAGATAAGCTTGATGGTTATCCTGCATTAATATTCTCTACTTTGGTTTATAGGGTATTACATATGACCATGTAGAATTAAATGTATATTTAAATGGAAAAAATATGCATTGTCCAGCTTCAGGAATCAGAGGGACTGTATATCCTGTGGTATATGGTAAGTCAGGGTTTTTCGTATTGTTTCACAATGTGGTCATCATGGCTGCCTACACACATGCTCAGGAGTGGGGAGGGGCATTTTAATTAGAGTGGTTCCCAGAGAGTTATTTTGATTAAAACACCACAGTATCACATGTATTAAACCCCCACACATTTAAAAATGGCCTGGGGATGCTTCTGCTAAAGCTCATTCAACAAGCTTCAGTTAAAGTACCGCAGCAGCCATTTTTAAATCCTTGGGGGCTTATACACGTGCTGCTACAGCAATGCTAGAGCATTCTAATTAGAATGTGGAGCAGACTTGATTAATCGAGTTTGTTCCAATGTGGAGCACATTTATAGACGCCCCATGTGAATAACAGTAGTATTGTCTCTTGAAAAACCCATCTCTTCTCTTTCAACATGTCCATCCAGTTGCTATCAAATAGTATTCTGTGGAAACTAAAGCAGTTAGTTACATGGGGGGGGAAGTGTTAGGAAAGTATCTTGGGAGTTTTTTAGCTGCTTTTTATGTTATTTAGCAACTGGAAACAAGGACCCAAGTTGTATGTGGACTATCACTGAAGGATGCACAGACCACAAATTGGGGTGTTACTGCTGTTTAGTTGAACCTTGCTGTATAAATGTACTGTTAAGTCAATGAGTATAGATGAAGTTAAACAAGGACATTCTTAACCCACTAGTTCAAGTTTTCTCTGAAGCATGTATTTATAACTCTTTAGGGACACATGCTTGACAAGTACAGAAATCCCTGAATTTTTTAATGTCCATATTTTCATTTTTTATAGAAATATAATCTTTAAATTATATAGCAGTACTTTTCATCTCTAAATTTATTGCAGCTATAAAAAAGTGATATCCAACACTATAGGAGTTGCTTCACCACTTGAAATGTAGCCATTTTTTAAGTGAATCATAGAAATTGTTTTGACAGCATATATCAACACAACAGTTTTGAACAGGAAGCAAATAGCATGTCCAGTTATGTACCTCATAGGCAGTTTAAGAGAGTATTTATGAATTATGAAAGTTGGGATTTGGCCAAGAACTGTTAACAACCCATTTCAGTAAAACTCCAGGGTACTTGCAACTCCCCGATAGCCAAGAATTCCATTAAACATCTCCTCTGAAAGACAATAACTCCTTTGCATGGTGCACACCATACTTAGGGAGTAGCTGGATTATAAAAGAGAAGAGTGCCACTCAGTGGATTCCTACAGCTACTACTGCCTATAGCATTTAGAGTGGAAATTTTTTTGTAAGTACTGACTGAAGCCAAACTCAGTAACTTCTGAGGTGGTATAACTCATTTCATTAAATATTTCATAATGAATTGTTGGAACATTCCTGCAGCTGTTCAGGAACAATATCTGTTAAGAATGTGTCTAAGCAAGAATCAGATAGTCTAGATTTTCTTTGGTGGCTTCAAGTGCTATAAACAGCCACCTCCCTGCTGGGCCTCCCTCGGGCCCCAGGGGGGGCACACGTGGGCCAAGGGTTAGCGAGGATTTAGTTAGGGAGCTTCTGGAGGGGCTGGACATTTTCAAGTCAGCAGGTCCGGATGATCTCCACTCAAGAGTTCTGAAGGAGCTGGCTTGAGGTCATTGCAAGTCCCCTGGCATGGCTTTACGAGCACTCATGGTGCTCTGGAGAGGTACCGGAGGACTGGAAGAGGGCCAATGTGGTTCCCATCTTCAAAAAAGGGAGGAAGGAGGACCTGGGAAACTATAGGCCAGTTAGTCTTACCTCGATCCTAGGCAAGCTGTTTGAGAAAATTATTCTAGCACACATCCAGGAGGGGCCAGCAGGGGACTGCATGCTTAGGGGCAACCAACATGGGTTCATCAGTGGCAGGTCCTGTCAGACCAAC